CCCCAAAACCCCAAAACCCCAAAACCCCAAAACCCCAAAACCCCTAGATGCAAAATCACAGTTTAAACTCAAATTCCAAATATAATGATAAGAAATAAATTAGCTAATTCATTCTAAAATATATTATTATCATTTTGATTTTATTCTTAGATAGTAAGAACTTAAGATTCACAATTTTTTCTTCAAATTAAGCTTTTTAGAGCCCCCTTTAGTGTCATAAATGATCTTCGCTGGTTATTTATTAACTATCTTATTATTATTAACAGAGGCAGTGACTTAGGCTTGCTCCATTAGATTAGATTCCTGAAGAATTTGATTTTCCATGTCTACCTGATTTTCTACTATTTCATCATCTCTAGCTATCATCATTGAAGTAGGCTTGTTTAAAGTGAATTTGTACTTGTGAGAGAGGCTCTTATCACTATTCTCAAACAGGTTGCTATTCTCATCAGGTAAATCAACTGAACTCAATACTATAGGCTTGTCCGACATATTCTTGAATAGTCTCTCAAAAGTGTCGCTACTGGGCACTCCATAGTTGAAAGTTTCATATTGATACTAATCACTCTTATCACCACTATTTAAAATATGATTTTCATGCACATTTTTTCGAGCCTTGCTAACTCTAGATTATCTTTTGAGATTTTCCCTGCTGAAGTTTTCATGATCATGATAATATGGATCATCTTCAGTATTTTCCTTTATGGTATTTAAATTGGCTTCTAAATGAAAGAGCTTGTCGTCACTGTGGTCCACATCAGTCGCTTCATATGGAATAGCCTGTGATGTTATCATCGCTTACCTAAGTCTCATTAATAGACTCTTATTTGATATCTTCTCCTTGTAATCCTCATCAAAATCTTTTAAGTTTCTCATAAAGAGTCCTCTGAACAATCTCCTATCAATATTTTCAATCTTCGTATTCTTGTATGACATCATCATCTTCTTCATTTTCCCAAAGAACACAAGTCTTATCATAGGATTCTTGCTCTCCATTATTTTAAACGAATCAAATTTATTGTTATTATCACTGTCCTATGAACTCGAGCTGGTCTCTATAAGGTTCTTTCTCTAGAATCTCAGGATAAGTTTTTACTTTTAATCCATTAGCACCTACGTCATCAGCTTAACCTACCTAATCATTCTTAGCAGATTGACCACGTTTAGCTCTTCTTACAACTTTTCTTCTCCCTTTTTAAATATGAAGTGATTCTTATATTTCTATGAATGCTTAATCTTTTAGAATTTCTTGCAGCAGATACAATCAAAGATATATCTTACAATATCCTTTCCAGAATAACTGAACCTTCTTCTGTTTATCAGATTTAATAGGATCGTGTTAATTTCACTCTCTAGCAGTTTGTCCTTGTACTTCAAAGCGTTTTCTATACTAAACTTTTACTTGTCCTTGATATCTATTTCCTATGATCCATCTCTTTTTTCCATTTTCAATTGCTTATCATCTATTTGATTCAAGTTTTCGAAGGTTTTATTTGGACTTTATAAAGGGCTGCTATCATTAATCTGGAGAGTTTGCATTGAATGATTATTGCTAATAGTTGATTAATTATGAATTTTGGTCTGATCTAAATCAGATGTACTCGCATTTATCTTTATTGTTCTCTACTATTAGCTTTTGCCATAATCAAATTGATTAAAAGATCCTCCACTTCTTTAAGGTTTAATAACAGGACTTTGGTTATCAAACATGTATGTATCTTGATTTTTGTTCTTATCCGAGCCAATAAGTTTTTAGTTCTCTCGCTCTATTCTCTTCTTATCTTAATCTCTTTCATCCTACCAATATTTTATTTGATATATTTGCTTAAGAATTGAGGACACAAATATCCTTCTTGAAAAAAACCCAATCATTATAAGCCCGAGCAAGTATAATGACTGCTAAAGACCTCCAATATCTCCCAATAATACGAGTATTGAATATACTTGACGATTATAAATGTCGTATCTGTTATCAAATCTAATGAAAATACTACAAATAATGTTATCGCTACTAGAAAAGCCATCGTCATACGTTCTTTAATTAGATACCTATGCAAATGTCAATGTGTCTTGCTAACCTAGTTATAGCAAGTCATCTTAAAGTTAAGCCTACTACTATTGAATATAAAAATTAGCGCTATTCCTTGTTGACATGTCAAGCTCCCAAAATAAGGAATCATCAATATATGGTTTAACTGGGGACTAGAAATCAGAGAAGTCAAAAAACTAATTTACAAAAGGCATGCTAAACTTTTTAGAGTTGAAAAACTCATCAATCTATTCATTACGCGCACAATTCTAGGATTTGCTGGTATTAGCACATTTATATAGTCTAAGTTCTATATATCTGAATTCATCTGAGTAGTAATCACCTTGTAATGAATAGTTGTCGTTCGAGAAACACATTTACTTATCGATTCCGTATTTTTCTATATCTGCCTATTTTTAGTAATTGAGCAGATCTTTACCACATTCTTTAAATGGAATATCTATCTTCTCTTTTAATCTTTCAAGCTAGCCTTTACTGTCAAGCTTTCCCGAATAATAAAAATGTACGAGTTTTGCTTAGTAATATCCATACTTAGGGTCTAGATGTTCTCCAATACCAAATGCTATGTCAAAACCACTGTCTTAAGGTCTAAATTCTCCAGCTTAATCGAGGTCCATTTAGAAAGAAGCTTTACTTATATTGGGATCCTAGCGATTGAATAAAACTATGCTTCTCACTACTGTAAAGGCTACTATGAGAGATATTATCATCAAAGATGTAACAGCACCAGGCATTGTTTTAAATGTATCGTCTCCTTTGTAAGTCAAATTAATTTACTGTCCATAGATATCAATGCCCTTAAACATGTTGCTCACTCCACTTGAAAAACTTTTTGACTTGACAAAAGGCTTCCTTTATTAGCCTGGTTGCTTTTATCGAGGAAATATTTATTCCATTTTTTTATTAAAATTGGATAAATTTTTTGTTAGACTACAATTTAAAAGAAAACTTTATGTAACATACTCTATCTAAAATAATGTTAAATACTAAATCTAATAAAAATCCACATAATCTTCTCAATTTAATTCCAATGGGGTTTTGGGGTTTTGGGG